TCAGAAGCATTATTGACGTTCGTTGTTATAGCGTTTGTTTAGCGCGATTGTTGAAGTTGAGTGTATCGGTTAAGTTATATTCGGAAAGAATAAACCAGTTTTATTAAGTAGACTTGTGTCGTTAAAATTTCGTCAGAACGAAGTTACGGAAAGTTAATTAACAAACGAAGACGTAACAGTACTAATGGAATGGTAGTGTTATATTATAACATGAAGATGGACGATCTTAAAATACAACTGGATCATAAAGACCTAAACAAAAAATTTACATCTTAGAGGTGCAATCCTTAAACAAGACAAGTTAAAATTACTTGCAATCATACAACTCTGTATCTTAAAAGTGCTACTGGACCAATTAAGTAGAGAAGAACGTCTGGCAAGTGTTTTTCAGTCAAGTAAGTAGAGAAGAACGTCTGGCAAGTGTTTTTCAGAGAACGTCTTGCAAGTGTTATTCAGTCAAGTGAGTAAAGAAGAACGTCTGGCAAGTGTTTTTCAGTCAAGTGAGTAGAGAAGAACGTCTTGCAAATGTTTTTTAGTCAAGTAATTAGAATAAATCGTATTTCAAGTGTTATTTAGTCGAGTAAGTACAGAAGAACGTTTTTTTCAAATGTTGTTGAAAACCTACAATAGAAAACGTTGAAGAGGATGACTTTAAGAAAATACTGAACATTCAGGGAAGCTTAAACCAAGAAAATTGGTATTATCGTAAAACCAAATAATTGTTAAATATGGTATGGATTGACATTAATCTCCGTTTGTCCCATAGCAGACAACTATAGTATAATACACACCTACAGATGGATACCCCGGTGTTAAGGGATCGCCATCACTAGTATAAACAGAGCCCCGCTGCATTGCTGTTTCCGGCATCCACCAGGATTTAGGATACACATGGTCAGGGTCCGTTCCTTCCAAAGCAACTTCTGCAGGATCAAGGTACAAAATGACCCCAACAGCGCCCCTCTCATGGGCATTCCATACCTATACAGATTGATCTAGGTTTATCAAAATACTACTGCAAACAATCATAGGACACTACGTATGTGCATGCATTATAGCTTCTAATAAGCAATATGATATAAAGGTAAATACCAAAATTTCTTCACTTCTTTCCTGTTTCATTACTTTAACTATTAATTATGATAAGAACGGACATTTATATCATTCTTGGGCATACGTTTTTCAGTTGGTTTTTGGTCCGTTTCAATTTGTATCAAATTATAAATAAAGTAAAATGTATGTGACGAAGGTCAATCACCACGCTTTTACTAACTCAAGGGGTTCGAGTCACTTTGACCCAGACTTCCGTGATGTATGGCCTAAGACTTCCCGATGACTTTTACTCAGCTTCTAGTACTCAACATTCAATTAATAGTTTATAAACACACCATAATATTTTATTAATGTGAGTTTTATCTGAACAATAGCATCATTGCCTTGATAGTTGAAACTACAAGTTTAAAAATCTGAGTTTCAAATAACGAAACGTTAAGTAGTAAGCCTAAGACTCAAAATCTATATTATTTAGGTTAAATAATCAACTAAAACTGCATAGAAATATACATCAAGACTCGCCAAATAAAAACATTTGTAACAACTGAAATAGTCATGAATTTTCATAACTGTATAGACTTTTTTGTCCAATTTCTGCGTTTAGTTATGACGATCTTGTTAACCGGGTGACTCAAGGTTCTACGCATGTTTTAATCCAACTCAAGATCATACGCATGTTTTAATTCAACTCAAGATCATACGCATGTTTTAATCCAACTCAAGGTCCTTCACATGTTTTAATTCAACTCATGATCCTTCACATGTTTTAATTCAACTCAAGGTCCTACGCATGTTTTAATCCAACTCAAGGTCCTACACATGTTTTAATCCAAGTAAATAATACATGATAAGTTTATTTACTGATAGTATTAAGTACAGCAAAGTTTAGCCCTAACTAAACTAAAGCCAAAAATATACAAAAGTTACAGTGTTAATTTATCTTTTTATTTAATATAGGCCGCACTTATCAAAACCCTAACTAATGTTAGGCCTAAGACGAGTGGACTTAATAGATTTCGGTGTCTGAGATTAGATTCTTTTGTATTATTCTACAAATTCTGTATCTAAAGAAATAGTGTTGCAATAAAGATATTAATTTGACCGCAAGAGTGGGTCTCTTCTGCTGTTATATATATATATATACAAACGAGTTACAGAATTGACGCAAATAGTATCAATTTGGAGTAAGATTCTTGCAGAAATGGCGCTTAAAAGGCGTTGTGAATAACTTTTTTCTCCTATTAACTGTCGAAATATAGGTGAAAAATTATTATGCAAACAGCTCACGGACAATAAAAAAGATCATGATGTGTTATACCCACAACGTCTTAAACTGACCCACCTTTCTCCCTCTGCTGGTTGTGGACATAATAATAACCCCACAAAACCGATTACAAAGTCAAAAAAATGCAACAAATTGTGCTTATTCGTGTATGTATAAAACTGTCAAACTGAAACATTTACAGTGTTTTTCATTGCTTGATTACTTTTTTCTTCTAATGTTAACGTAGGCTGAGCCAGTGTACGTTAATTATGGCAGAGTTGAAGATTTTGACGAACTTGAAGCACTGGGAGTCAATGTTTCTGGTAAAATTTGTCTGTCTCGATATGGTAAAATATTTCGAGGAAATAAGGTAAGAAATATTGAAATTTAACCTCTTTTTGTGCTTGTGTAAGTCTGAAACATACAATATGATATTTTTATTAATTTGCAATAACAAAGATATTTATGGAACGGCAGGTTAAAAACAAACAATTTATGTGAAGACAACTTGAAAAACTTTCAATACAAAATGCGCACTAGACATCAAAATCTGTGTTCTATTTTTTACAGTACGTATTAAATATGTGGTAATACAGTTCCGTTACTTGCCAAAAGTTTCCTCAAAATGTAGGTTCAGGACTGTTAAGCGAAAATTAAACTGAACGTGGACAACAAAGGAAAACAAGTAACACGAGTGTTCCTTGAAACATAAACTTTTATTAATAACACTGTTATCAAAACAGGCCTGCCTTCTTCTCTTGGTTGAATTTTTTCTGGCTACTGGGGATTGAAGAAAGTCAAAAGACAGCTGCAAAAACGCGAGTGAAAATCAAAATAAATTAAAAGACGGAATTCTGGAAATACTCGATTTATGTATTGCAGAATAAAGTCGAAAAACAGCTGAAAAAGTAAGGGAGAAAATCGACATATTAAGAGACAGAATCTTGGAAATATTCAACTTATATATCATGGCAAAACAAAATCTCAGTGAGGTGTTTCTCGAGTCCACGGATTACATACTTCAACCAATAATCCACAACAGTTGTTCGGGTTTCTGTATTGTCTGTTTTAATAATCCATCTTCCAAGAATTTCACACAGCAGTTCATATATGCTGACTTGAAACGTAATATCAAAATATCCAAGTAAAGCCCTACATCATTTTACAGAATGTTTTTTATGTTTGTTTGAAGGTAAGCACAAAGCTACACAATGGGCTATTTGTGCTCTGCCCACCATGGGTATCGAAACCCGAATTCTAGCGTTGGAAGTCCGTAGACATACCGCTGTGCCACAGGAGGGCATGTTTTATATAACTTGTATACCAATATAACTTACAATCTACGTAGTCCTGAAAATAACTAATTTTCGTAAATACAAATTATTCAAATTCTCACATGCATCACACTAACAGTTGAATATTTTCAAACAGTGTTTGAACCTATATATTTCAATCTGTTATAATCTACAGACCTCATTATTAATTGTCATAACCTATTCATTTTACCTCCTACTTCTTAAACTCGATAGGAAATAATTTATTCTAACTAAACATTGCCTAATCTAACGTTTTTCTTAACAAGAAAATCATGAATCTGTAAATCTTACAATTTTCTAAGTGTACGACTTTTTGTATATCAATTGCAGTCACAAGTATAACGCTTTTCAAAACAGTTTCTTAACAGACAAGGCATTCTATTTATCGTGTGACGTAGCTAACGGTAGTCGTTGCTTATTGATTGAAACATGGATACATTCTAAGTAAGATATACTATTGCATGAACGTGTAAACCGTGAAGTCAAATTCTATTGTATTATGAATAATTGGTGTGATGTATGCGATAATTGTATAGTGTTTGAATAATTTATGTTAATAAAACAAAATAAAGCAGTCCTTCTGGTATTTGTTTGTTTGTTTGGTAATCAAGCACAAAGCTATACAATGGGCTATCTGTGCTCTGCCCACCACGGGTATCGAAAGCCGGATTCTAGCGCTGTAAGTCCGCAGACATACTGCTGTGCCACTGGGAGGCCTGGTTTTTGTATATTTATTTGTTATTAAGCTCAAAGATACTCGATGATCTATCTGTGCTCCGCTCAGCACGGGTATCAAACCAGATATTTTAGCGTTATAAGTCCTCAGGCTTATTGCTGAGCCATCGGACAGCAAAAACAACAACAAAAACTGTCTTATTGTAGAGCTACATAATAGAATATTTGTGACTTACAGAAGGAGAATCAACTCCCGAATTTTAGCGTTGTAAGTTCGAAAACTTACCGCTGACAAATCAGGGAAAAAAGAAAGTAAAAAGTAGCTACTGTGGTTCGTTCTTTTACCAACGAGTAGTGGAATTGACCGTCACAATATAACGCCCCCACGGCTGAAAGGGCGAGCATGTTTGGTGGGACGGGAATTCAAACCTGTGACAGTCTCAGATAGCGAGTGAAGAGCCTTAACCATCTGACCAGGCCAGGCCATAATACGTGAAGAAACCTTTAATTTTGATTATCAGCATTGCGATTTAGATAAAGTACTAACAGATAAACTGTTTACTTGCTGCTACTGTGGCTCGTTATGTTACTACCTTGTGAGTGTGTAACCTGATATAATCAATCATAAATACATTAAAATCGCACTGAATAATACACACATATATCTATTGTAATAATGCTCAGTGTTTTGTCCTGAAAATGTGCTTGTACTGTACTACCCAACTAAGCACTTCATTAAAAAGGTCTAAAGGTAGGTCGTAGAATAACAATATGGCAGTACCAAAAAGAATGCAAACAAGAATATAGGGATGATACAGTTATACATAGATCATCCCTACATGACTTTTAATATTAAAACTTAATGTTAAACTCTAAAATGTGCGAGTACAAAATGGTTATGAGGTCGGTCAATTTCAGTGACTTCGTAGCGAGAATCTGTAGTAGTCTGTAATAATCAAGACATGTTTTGACTCAACTTGGTTTTCCTTGTACGTAAGCCCTAGGCTTTTGGTTACACTACATTGATGTCTACCATGACATGACCATGATATTATGATAAACAAAGTGTATAACAACAGTCACAAATTTATAACTTACAACTGCAGTAATATTAAAGTCAAGTATGCATTTTAATGTGTAACATTAAATTCTAATATTGAAAGTCATGTAGGGATGATCTAAGTTTAGCTGTATCATCCCTATATTCTTGTTTGCATTCTTTCTGGCACTGCCATCTCTATATCATTTTACATTTACAATTTTTTTTTATTATTACTTGTTTTGTAACGATTTTTCTTTAACTGAAAGTTAGTGTATTCTATGAATGTGTGTAATAAAATTTAATATTATGTGTAATGATTTTTTTTCTCCTTCACTTCATACATAATATAATGGTTGGCTCCCTAAAGACACCGCTGTATAGTGTACAAAGCATTGAGTATTCTACATATTTCTACCAAAAAGCTAACTTCAAGAGGTAATGATAACATCGTTTACACTAGAATTATTATTTTAATTACTACTAGTTGTTACGATTAAGCGATAACATCATGTACTGCCTAGAAACACATAGAGTGGATTTAGGCTTAAACTGACGTTAGTGATAAAGTAGTTGTAGAGTTATCTGGACTGAAACAAGAAGAAGAAAGATGAACAATTTGGTGGGTCTGACCAATGATAGTCTGGAGGCAGATAAGTCAACAGTTATCCGAAGTCTCTCTACATGTCTAAATACCCATGTGTTGTTACATAAGGATATCACCTCTCTCCAACAAATATGTGAAAACCATGTCTGGTTCAAAATAACTGCAACAATGTCCCGAACTCATATATTAATTCAATAGAATATATTTAGGAGCCATGATTTGAAAAGTTACGAGTCATTACTAACTATCGTTTTTATTAAGAACAATGGAGGCCAGGAGTAAATACATCTATCAGAACTTACACGAGGGCACACATGACTGAATAGCAGTAGTTATTTTCATTTTGGCCACTAGTGTTAATACCCGTTGTTAGGATAGCAATTAATAGGACTCGTCTGTATAACTATGCATGGAATATTTTTGCTTGGGAAATGTTTGTTTGTTTTAGGATATTCGAGCAAAGCTGCACAAGGACTATTTGTGATAGCTGTCCCTAAATTGAACTGATCGACTAGAAGGAAGGTAATTAATCAACAGCACACACCACCTAACCCGTGGGCTACACTTATCATACAAAGATTCTTATAATGCAGTCATACAGCGTGATTTTGCGGCAACGGGTTGTGAACCATGGAACCTCGAATTCACAGTCCTGCACACTAACCACTGGACGACTCTCAACGATTGAGTAGTGTATATAACGAAGTCCTAAGAAATATGAAGTGCTAAGTTTTTTTTTGAACCATTATCTATATAGATTTAAATAATGAGAAACAAAATTAAATATGAGCAAATAGATAGATAAATGTGACCAAACTACAAAAAAGAGAGCTTTAATTACAGAATGTTTAAAAACATATATTAAAAAACCTTAATTAATCCTCTGTGAAATAACAACATATAGTATCATTATTATTTCAGCTAGTCTAATACTCATGTGCTTATAAAAATATTACCGTAACGTCTCCACTCGGGGAAAACCCGTTATACGCCATACCCATATCTTCTCCACCTGCTTGAGGAACTTTCTTCTCTTGCAGTTGTGCGGTAAAAAAAACTTCTCCGTTATTGCTGTCAACTATCTCCACCTAAAAATAAAGTGAACGATTTATTAGCAGTTCTACTGATTACAAAACAAGTTATCTCCTTTTTATTTTCACAGAAAAATTGCTGACGAAATTTGAATAACGTATTTTCAATTAGTCCAAATTAATTGTGTCATTTAATAATTTATGTTTTCCAGATTTCATACGTCATTAGATAACTATATAAAACATTCGCAGTCAGAAATGTTCACACTATTTTACGCTGCATGGTTACAGAATGTATACAACTTCTCTTTGATGCCTGAGTAGTTCAGTGGGTTTGAAATGAATATCTAAAGCTTAATAAAAGTGTTCGTTGATAGGAATATTTGCAGTCTGCCAGTGGTGTATTGACTGTAAAATATCAAACCACTCTGACTTGGGGACGACTACCCCTGAATCCTAGGGGTTTCATAAAGTGCTTTTAATGTTGAAATTATTACCAATAACAATCTTGCGCCCGAAAAAAAAAAAAGCAAAAAAGACTCATACGCCATCTATTGAACACTGACCGATGTTAAATAAACAGAAGTGGAGACTTGGTTTAAATCTGTTAACGTCTAACTTTGATTCCAATATTAAATTATTGACCAGAAGAAAGGTAGCCAATCAGCATCACCCCTCGCTACGAGGACTTTGTCAATATTCGAAATAAATAACGGGATTGATTGTTAGTATATCACTCTTATAACGCATCACACTGAAAATGCGCAGAATCTTTAGCGGCATCGCGGTGAGGAACTTATCACGTGAAACCCCTGGTCACGCCTGGCCCTTGGGATTAACCTAGTCGTTTTATATAGGTCTTAAAAATAAGTTTTGTTAATGCATTTTAAGTAACTGAGAAAGTTATGTTGCGCATAAATGTAACGAGGATATCTTTCAAAATTCATCTGAGAATCTCATATAAAAACATACGTGTGTGTGTGTGTGAGTATGCCGAGTGGCCTCATTCTTTCCAAAATTACTTTTCTACAACCTTCCAGGCAAACTAATATATTTTCTCGACCTAAAGTAAACAGACAAATCAAACAATTGGCTATATACACTCTGTCAACTGGGAGAAATCAAACATCGGATATTAGAGTTTTAAGCTCCTAAACTTACCGCTGATCCACCCAGGGAGGGGAGACTTTCTAGACCTTCAGACTTGCGGCATACGAGGGGCAAATTAGTTAGTTGCGTTTGAGCCCATGGTATCAAGAGGCACTCAGTGCTTATGCGTTTTTTTATTACCCTTTTCAGACAATTTAAAAGGTAGAAAGGGTGGTATTTTAAAAGCATTGTATTTGTGAAAAGTTGTTTTAATGGGCAAAATTTCAATGCAAAAAAAAATACACATAAAAAATGAGGGCTTGTGAAGAACAAAGAGAATTAACCTTGCCCACGGGTCCACATAAAACACATTATTTGACCTTCTCCTCACAATTTTACATAACTAATGTTTAGGGTTACCAGGTTTTCAGAGTGAAAAACTGGGACATTTTTGTTCCCGTAATGAATGTCACTGTAACAGTTCTGAAGCAGTTGAAATTACAATAATACACTTTTTACCATTTGTTGAATAATTGGATGTTTATTGCATGGGGTTTTAAAAGCAGAGACAACTAAAATTTGTTAAAAGCTTATCTAGTTAAAAATTAATAACTTAATAAAATTAAAGCACGCTAGTTAAAAATTAATAATTTAAGAAACTTTAGGCGCGTTATTATTATTTTATTTTCAAGTTGTGCATTTTTACTTTATTTCATTTATATTTAACTAGAGCATTTTGATTTCATTCATTTTTAACCAGCACGTTTATTATTTAATTTATTTTTAACCAGCACGTTTATTATTTAATTTATTTTTAACTAGCGCGTTTTTATTTCATTTGTTTTTAACTAGCGCGTTTTTTATTTGATTCGTTTTTAACTAGCGCGTTTTTTATTTTATTTATTTTTAACTAGAGCGTTTTTTATTTCATTTATTTTGAATAGCGTGTTTTTAATTTTACTAAGATATATATATATATTATCCATCTTTTGTTCAATTATTAAAAAACTTGACTGTTATTGCAACGACATTACTTTGTGTGTGTGTGTGGATATAAATTCTGGTTTTGTTTTTAATTGGGTTACCATTGAATTTGAAAAATGGGAATAAAGAGTGTGAAAAAAATTGAAAACTTTCCCAAAACCTGGAAGATTTTTTTATTATATTGAAACTTGCATGAGCGAAAAAAACATGCTTCTTAGCTGAGTCACTTGTTGATGTATTTCTATGCAACCTTCGGTAGTTATAGAATTTTATCTTGTGACAATTTTCGAGTTCAGTATGTTTAATGATAGGTTTACCAAACCTAAAGCAGCATTAATACGGTTACCAGACGTCCCTGTAAAACTAAGATAGATCCTGTTTTTAGCCTTATATTTTCGTCCCTATGAGAAATAGCAAAAGTGGTAAATTGTCCTAGACAACACGTTTTCTTAATGTAAAATGTCATTGAGCAGCAGGAAAAATTGAGATTTGAAGACTTGCCCATCCGCGAAGAAAAAACAACAACAACAAAAAACATATATTTTACCTTTGAGTAGGAAAAAATACACATATATATATATACAAGTATTTCAGAATTTAAAACCAACTGCGATATACGTTTCCATATAAATATCAATAGCTAAATTTAATAGTTTAAATAAAGTATCTAGGTGATATCAGGTCAAAAGAAAAGTGTGTGTGTCGGACGTAAAATCATGCATTAGGTATAATTAATATGTATCTTTCCATCAATCATTAAAAATAATTAAAATAGTTTGTGTACTCAAGTGCAAAATAATATATTTTTAAACCGGAAAAAATAAGCAAGAAGTAAGTTACATTACAAAATACTACTGCTCGACCCTAAACCTTTTTTGACAACAATCTATTTCTGTCAAATTAGGATGGAACTTTTATAAAAGTGATGGTAAATAGTGGCAGCAGTTTGGAAAATTATGATAAATACATGTTAATAATGTCTGACGTTAGCATAACAAATCTTAATGAGATATTTTTTAACTTTTCTTAATTAAACTAGAAAATATTTTTGTGAAACACAATTTGTACGAGAAGTCATAATTACCGTATTTGGATGTTGTGGATCTGGATACGAGAGTAGAATGTTATATGGAACCATTTCAACTTTATCTAATCCCTGATTCGACCACATATTTCGAATGTATTTCGCCAGTTCGAAGTCACGTGCAGTCCCTGCCACGTGAGGTTTCTTGGATAAATACCTAATAATGATCCATGACGTCATTTTAGAATTTCATCCATAAAACAATCTAAGCTGAAAATCAACTTATCTCACGCAACGGCGCGAAAAACGATCGATCTAGTGTGCCAAAGTTACTAATAACACCCAGTTTCCCATTCGTTAATACTTTTACTTTCATAATCCGCAGATCAAGTTAAAATTAAGTAACCAAACAAAAACTAATGACAACTAATTTTCTAAGAATTTTTTCAGTGGTCTTTAGCCTTCCCATTAAAAAACATCACGAAGGCTTAACGGAGCTGTTCCGAGTTCACATACCGATCATGTTTATACATGTTTTCAAAAACACAGTTTCATTAGGTTCTAACGTACCGAACTGTTCTGAATAACGCTTTTCCATATCCAAAAATTTAAACGTTAATGTCCGGTGATTTTTCCAGCACCAGTATCCTATCTTTGGTTTACATTTTTCCTAAGATTCTTAGATAGAAAAAATGAATAAAAGTATAAATTTTCATGCAATTTTTCTATAGCTAAAACATTAGTAATAAAGTTGTTTAGTTAATTGTCTAGCCTGTGAAGAAAAAAAATGTTTTTTTAGGCGTAATAAATGTGATTTAAAATCATACTCAGCTCTGTTAGGTCAGATGTTAAAGATGTATTATCATAAACAGATAAACGTTATTGAAGCGAATGCAGTTCATGCGTGTGTTTTAACTATATAAACATTCTTGTAGTGGTTTTGTATAGCAAGAAAACAACAAAGCTAAGACATTTGTAGTGTAATGTTTATTATTACTTCAAGGCCAACTAGTTGTTAGTTATGATGCGAAACAGCCGTATTTTTTATAATGCTAGAATCAGAATGTTTTTTAAGTACGAAAGTGTATTGTTTGTTAACGTTTCCGTTCGCGTTCGTTAAAAGCATTACTTTAGCGTACGCTTTTCATTCAAGGTAATTTTTATTTTTATTTTTTTTGCATTTTGAGAATAAGGTCTTAGTAAACGTTTTACTTACGCTTGTATTTCATATTTTCGTGTCATATGATGCCCATTTTTTTACTCATATAAAACATATTTAACACAGAATGTAGGAACCTTCAGTAAAGAAAGATTTTAATTTTTTGAGAAGCAGTTTCCTAACTCTTGTTGAATGATTAATGATTCAGCAAGAGTAGGGACTGTCAGTGGAGAGAGAAGAAAGTTGTTACAAATTAAAGTTGTTCATATTTATGATAAAGTTACTTAATACTATACCTCCAGCTGTAACACACACAAAATAACATTATCTAACAGGTGCATCTAACAGGGAAAGTTAATATTCTTGTTTCTTGATATCGTGCCGTATTTGTATTATGATAATACAAGATACAAGTTCATTACACAAGTTACAACCATTCTAGAGCAAGTCAACAATCTACTTAAATAGATAACGACAAAGTGAAATAAACGCTGACTTTTAATGCCCTGCTAAGCCTTGTTTAATCATACAAGATAATAGAAAATAACTTAGATGATTATTCAATTGATGAAACGTTTACAAATGCGAACTATCGTTTTTATATCTTTAAAAGAGAGAACCACATGAATTAAATTTATGTAATACATGACCATATGATTTTAAGAAATATTTTACCCTAATCCCCCCCCCCTTTTTTAGTTATATATATAGTGGTTTTCGGAAAAACCTAATAAACTGACTTCGATAAAATATTACAATTTTATCCTTGCTTATTTAAAGGAAAAACTCCTAAACATTGTCCATATGACTTCAATGGCCCTTTTAATTTGATACAGGCCGATGACCTTTGTTAATCCTCAGTACCAGCTCTGGGTCTTATCAAGATATAGCTTTCACATTTCTTTTTTCCACTTACTTGAGGTACTTTTTAATGTTTTCTGGCTTTGCATTGTTTATTATATATTTCGAAACTTTATCGTTTTCTTCATATGAAGGAACAGTTAGTCTTTCGGCCACTTGGAGTTTGTGTCGTTCGTGTTCGCTCATGGGTCTACCGCCAATCCCATAGTTACCAATTAGTATGCCAACTAGCAGCGCCAACACAGCTAAGCTCAGGGCAGCAACAATTTGTGTTGTTCGTCCCATGTCTTTACTTCTTTCTCTGAAAAAAACACAAAAAAAAAGAATAAAATTGCCATTGTTTTCAAAACCAGTTCAGTTAATGACGCCAGAATTTCTTTCTTTTCCAAACTCAACAGTTTCTTTAACTTAATTTCCAGATATATCCCAAACGTAGTCTATACCAGATATTACATCTCGAGCTAATAGCCGTGTCTAATTATAAGGTATTACAGTGAAAGTCTTTTCTGTAAATAATAAGTATACTGGTATCAGATGAGTCACCATTGCAAATAAAACAACAGCTTAGTGTGATTTGTTACAATTGTAACGAATTTGTTATTATATATTTATTTTGATATCAACGTTTGTTTAGGTTAAATTTATATTTAGAAACATACATAGTGTTATGTCTCCGTTCGTTAGTTAATTTTCCGTAACTTCGTTCCAATGAAACTTTAGCGACACAAGTCCTCTCTTAAATAAAACTGGTTTATTCTTTCCGAATGCAACTTTACCGATAGACTTAATTTCAACAGTCGCTCTATAACAACGCTATAATTCTCAAAGAACGTCTCACGTGCTCGTGCTCGACAATACTCAGTTCAATTACACACTCTCTGACTGCAGTTCAATTACTCATTGTTCCGTCACGTTGTGACCATCTTATATATACCAGACTACCCTCTATCTAGTAGTCTCCCGATAATTCACGAAGGTTCGAGAAGGACGTGGCGTGATACTAGTCACGTGACCTCGCTGACGCAACAATAGTTTATACTCTTAAATATGTATTGCGAAACTCCCGCCTATTCTCCAAAGTTGTAGAAGATTCTCGAGAGTAAGAGTCAACAATATATTTATATAGGTAAACGTTTAAATGTAGCTCAGTATTGTTACGTAACCTGAATTTTCTAGAAACCTTCCCACGCCTATAACTATAACCAACGCGACGCGCCAAAAGAGAGTATCTATTATTAGTTTGCTATAGTCAGTGTGCTATAAACTTCGAGAGCTATAACTATGATTGTTATAACGCTTATCAATCGGAAAACTTCAGATATATGACCAGGAGCATTTGCAAAATTCGAACATTACAACTCAATTAACTTCAGTGGATTTACATCGGACATTAATAATTTTACGAAAACATTATCTAACGTCATCAGTGGAAACTCAATCTCTCATAGGTGTATGATCAGCGAGAACTACAGGGCTAGCTAGCTACCTACTAAGTCAATTATACCTATATCAACTCGTAATCAACTAGCTCATCATGAAACCTCGATAAGATATCAAGGAAGTTCCAAACTAGAAAGAAGACATTATATTGCTTGTAAGTTTGTGAAACTTTTGTTTATAAATCATTATTTCTAATAACTGTTATTGTAAATTGTATTGTTGGGTGTATATTAAAACGTATTTGTGTTAAAAAAGAAAACTGTTTGTCAATCTTGTTGGCAAATATTACAAACTGACTATATATTGGCATTTATTTAAACACTAAATCCAATGTACAATTTAACTACTAAATTTAAGTTATCAGTTAACGCAATTTCAGACCATTTGAAGTTCTAATACGTAACACAACGAACAACATATTATTTCTACTGGACCCAGCACAAACTAGCTATACTCAAACTCAGAGGTTCGACAGGTGAGTTTACGCAACCATAAGAAGAAGAATCCGAATTGCACTAAACCTACACGTCAAAACTTTTTACTTGATTTAAACAAGAGGTCATCTGAAAATTTCTGACACAAAATCTTCTGAGAACCCTGAAGATTTCTGACACGTGCTGTAGATATCTTAGTTTAAAGCTATGGGTATAAGACTGAAAAAGATAATGTTTATCTAAGGCATTATGGGATAAGTTTTGAAATGTTCCCTTGCATTTGTAAGAATTTTTTGGAGTTAGTTGTACGTTACTTATGCCCCCAGTGGTACAGAGACATGTCTGAGGACTTACAACGCTAGAAACCAACTGTGTTTCGATACCCGTGGTGGGCAGAGCACAGAGAGCCCATTGTGTAGCTTTGTACTTAACTACAAACAAACAAGCCGTTACTTATATGTAAACGTCAAGTACTGGGGAATGAGGGGTCGTTGAATAATCCTTAATTATTTAATCACTTTAGTAGACTTATACCTCTGGTTTTAAAACATTTGATTTTCATATACAGTGCCTTGCAAAAGTATTCACCCCTGCAAAGTTTCCATATTTTGTTGTCGTCTGAGCTTGCAAACATAAAACTTTCAAATGGGACTTTATATTTAGAATCTACACAATCTACTCCAAACTGAGAAATGCTATAAAAAAACAAAAAACGCTGATATTATGTAGATTAGATTTTCAAAGAAAATGAGAATATTCTCATTTGCATAAGTACTCAACCCCTTTTGCTACGGCAACTCTTAATCAGTTCAGGTGCAAAAGATTAGTTTGAAAGGTCACAGAATTAGTGTACTGGTCTCTGTTTGCGTGTAATGAAAATGGTTTAACTTGACTTCGGAGTAAATGCATCTGTTCAAGCCACAAATCACATAGTGATATGACAAACCAACCATGAAGACCATGGAGTTTTCCAAACAAGTCAGGTATAAAGTGGTAGAGAAACACGGATCAGGAGAAGGTTACAAGAAAATTAAAAAGTCGCTGATTATCCCTTTGAGTATGGTGAAGTCCATCATTAAGAAGTGGAATGTGCTTCATACCACCCATTCACTACCCAGATTAGGCCGCCCTTCCAAACTAAATAGCCGGGCAATCAAGAAGCTGGTTAGGGATGCCACTGTGAAGTCAACAGCCAACGATATATAAGTTATGTACCAGTAGTTACAATACTAACTGTGTATAGAGTTACCATGATACACGAGTTATACATCTGTGGTTACAAAACTTGCAAAGTTCCGTGTCTGAGGTGGGAGTCAGTGTTCTTACATCGACAATATCCCGGTTCCTACACAAAGCTGTCCTGTATGGGCAAGTGGCAAGAAAGAAGCCATTACTGAAACAAAATCATCTTAAATCTCGAATGGAGTTAGCGACAAAGCAAGAAAATGATACTGCATATATAACAAAGGCAATACATCATAATTTATCACTAAACAGTCAATTGTGCCACGATAACAGTAATTATAAGTTTTAGATCTTGTCATTTCACCAGTTTATAGTATTTCAATCTTACCACTTTAACAGTAAAGACTTTTAATCTTGCCACTTTAACAGCACAGG